GCGCTGGCAGTGGTGGCTCCATGTCTGGTGGTGGTCAGAGCTCTGGCGGCTGGGGCTCCAGCTCGGGTAGTGGCAGATGCAGTCCCCACAGTGGAGGGCAGAGCTCTGGCCGGAGAGGGTCCATCTCTGGAGGTGGAGGAGGAGGAAGCTTTGGTCATGGAGGATCCAGCTCTGGCAGTGGAGGATCCATCTGTGGAGGCATAGGAGGAGGCTCTGGCAGTGGTGGCTCCATGTCTGGAGGTGGAGGAGGAGGAAGCTTTGGTCATGGAGGATCCAGCTCTGGCAGTGGAGGCTCCATCTGTGGAGGAGGAGGCTCAGGATATGGAGGTGGAGGAAGCTCCAGTCATGGAGGATCCAGCTCTGGCAGTGGAGGATCCCTCTGTGGAGGCATAGGAGGAGGCTCTGGCAGTGGTGGCTCCATGTCTGGAGGTGGCCACAGCTCTGGCAGCTGGGGCTCCAGCTCGGGTAGTGGCAGATGCAGTCCTCACAGTGGAGGGCAGAGCTCTGGCCGGAGAGGGTCCATCTCTGGAGGTGGAGGAGGAGGAAGCTTTGGTCACGGAGGATCCAGCTCTGGCAGTGGAGGCTCCATCTGTGGAGGAGGAGGCTCAGGATATGGAGGAGGAGGAAGCTCAGGGTATGGAGGCATAGGAGGAGGTTCTGGCAGTGGTGGCTCCATGTCTGGAGGTGGCCACAGCTCTGGCAGCTGGGGCTCCAGCTCGGGTAGTGGCAGATGCAGTCCTCACAGTGGAGGGCAGAGCTCTGGCCGGAGAGGGTCCATCTCTGGAGGTGGAGGAGGAGGAAGCTTTGGTCACGGAGGATCCAGCTCTGGCAGTGGAGGCTCCATCTGTGGAGGAGGAGGCTCAGGATATGGAGGAGGAGGAAGCTCAGGGTATGGAGGCATAGGAGGAGGTTCTGGCAGTGGTGGCTCCATGTCTGGAGGTGGCCACAGCTCTGGCAGCTGGGGCTCCAGCTCGGGTAGTGGCAGATGCAGTCCTCACAGTGGAGGGCAGAGCTCTGGCCGGAGAGGGTCCATCTCTGGAGGTGGAGGAGGAGGAAGCTTTGGTCACGGAGGATCCAGCTCTGGCAGTGGAGGCTCCATCTGTGGAGGAGGAGGCTCAGGATATGGAGGAGGAGGAAGCTCAGGGTATGGAGGCATAGGAGGAGGTTCTGGCAGTGGTGGCTCCATGTCTGGAGGTGGCCACAGCTCTGGCAGCTGGGGCTCCAGCTCGGGTAGTGGCAGATGCAGTCCTCACAGTGGAGGGCAGAGCTCTGGCCGGAGAGGGTCCATCTCTGGAGGTGGAGGAGGAGGAAGCTTTGGTCACGGAGGATCCAGCTCTGGCAGTGGAGGCTCCATCTGTGGAGGAGGAGGCTCAGGATATGGAGGAGGAGGAAGCTCAGGGTATGGAGGCATAGGAGGAGGTTCTGGCAGTGGTGGCTCCATGTCTGGAGGTGGCCACAGCTCTGGCAGCTGGGGCTCCAGCTCGGGTAGTGGCAGATGCAGTCCTCACAGTGGAGGGCAGAGCTCTGGCCGGAGAGGGTCCATCTCTGGAGGTGGAGGAGGAGGAAGCTTTGGTCACGGAGGATCCAGCTCTGGTAGTGGAGGATCCATCTGTGGAGGAGGTGGAGGAGGAGGCTGTGGGTATGGCGGAGGTGGAAGCTCAGGTTATGGAGGCATAGGAGGATATTCAGGGTATGGAGGTGGAGGAGGAAGCTCAGGCTATGGCCGCTCCATGTCTGGAGATGGCCACAGGTTTGAGGGATGGGGCTGCAGCCCGGGCAGTGGCAGATGCAGTCCTCGCAGCAGAAGGCTTAGCTCGGGCAGTGGTGGTTCCATTTCTGGAGAGGTTGGAAACTTAGTCTCTGGAGGGGGAGGATGTACCAGTGGTGATATGTGCAGTTCTGGTTGTGGCGGGTATGACTCTGGAGGTGGGGCTAGGTCTGGAGGGGAAGGGGATTATGGGCGAGGGTTCTGTGGATCTGGGAGATACAGCCCTGGAGATGGGAGTGGAGAATGTGGCTCTAAAGGAGGGTGGTCTTCTTGAAGGTGGGGTTACAGGTCTGTCTATGGAAGTGGTTCAGGTTCTTCTGTATATCCTTCCCACAAGTAGTTTTTGTGTGGAAAAATCTGCCAGTGGAATGGGAAGACATCATTCCCCTTGCCATTGGAGGCCAGAGTGTCTTTCCATCCCACCCATGAGTCACCTGGTCTGAATGGGTCACACGTAATCCGAAGCTCTCTTCTCCCTGCATATTCATCTCCTGAATTGTCCAACGACATACCTTGATGACAATATTGTGATGGTTGTTATTTCCTTAACCTCTTCTGAGCACTTCATCTCAGACCGTTTGGAACCTTTGTCTTTGGCAACTAAAAGCTTGAAACCTTGTCTGTTGTGTGTGTATTGGTCTATGGGAGGGCACAACTCGGGCGTCTATGATGAGATTTTTGAAAGAGTTCTGAAATTATATAAACAGTTTAGAGAGATCTGGTCCAACCTCAAGAAAAAATGAGTGAAAAAGTGGAAGAAGGTGTTGACAGAAGAATTTCTGTTGAGGGGGGTGGGGGCATATGCTGGACATCTGCTATGAAAATGGATTTCAGGGCACAAGGCCAATTGGCCTATTCTAGCCAATCAACCAGGACGCGTGGCTACATCGCAGGTCCATCATTCCCTCCAGGAGTCATGCATTAAAAAACCAGGGGACAGATTGAATTGTCCATGTAGGTTTTGTTGGCATTGCAGTTGCAGGTAAAGAGAGGAGGAGCAAGTCTATGAACAGCAATGCCTCCTTATCTTGCTTCCAGTCCCGTTTTCGCCCTGGAGTCCCAAATCAAAGTTGGATGGGATGTACCCAAGTAAGCCTTCTTTGGCCAGCATCTTATTCAATGGTCACTTCTATGCAGAGGAAGCAAGATGTTTTCTAAATTTCTCACAGAATGTCTGTTAAGTCCAATCAAATGTTCTAAAGAAGAGCAGAACAGCTGAGGTTACTGGGAGTTTGTTCAAGAAGCTCAGTGCAACCGTGTCAACTTAACTTAGCAACACTCCACTGAGACAACTGGAGTCACAATCCCATCGTAGAATAGAACCACAGAATCACGGAATGGTTTGGGTTGGAAGGGCCCCCTAGAGGTCACCCAGCCCAACCCCCCTGCAGGAGCAGGGACACCTTGAACCAGACCAGGTTGCTCACAGCCCCGTCCAACCTGGCCTGGAATGTTCCCAGGGATGGGGCCTCCACCCCCTCTCTGGGCAACCCCTGCCAGGCTTTCACCACCCTCCCGCTAAAGAATTTCTTCCTTAGATCCAGCCTAAACCTCCCCTGCTTCAGTTTCAAACCATCCCCCCGTGTCCTGTCCCAGCTGGCCCTGCTCAAAAGATTGTCCCCGTCTTCCCTGGGGGCCCCCTTGAAGCCCTGAGCGGCTGCAATCAGGTCCCCCTGCAGCCCCCTCTTCCCCAAGCTGAACAACCCCAACTGTCTCCAGGAGTGGCATTTGTCCCACCAAGTTCTTGTAACAGCACCAAGGCCATAGTTTTCTAGCAGCATGGTGGCTTCCAGCTCCTCCTGTTTGTTGCCCATGCTGCGTGCATTGGTGTACAGGTGCTTCAGCTGGGCTGTTGGCCTTGTGATCTTCTTAGAGGAACGCCCCTTAATTCCTTTGAGGTATTTCACCAGTGGTTCCCTCTTGGCTCCTATTACTTCCAGAGCCCATGGCTCATCTCCGTAAGACTTCAGGCATCCTCCAGTGTAGCCAGCACATCTCAGAGCAGCAGGCGGAGGGCCCTCGCTAGCACCCTGTCCCTCTAACCTCAGCACGTCATCCCACAGCTTGTCACAGGCAAGCCTGATCACAGAATCCCAGAATGGCAGGGGTTGGAAGGAACCTCAGGACCTCACCCAGTCCCACCCCCCTGCTCAAGCAGGCTCACCCACAGCAGGGGGCACAGGACAGCGGCCAGGCGGGGGTTGAATATCTCCAGAGAAGGAGACTCCACAGCCCCCCTGGGCAGCCTGGGCCAGGGCTCGGGCACCCTCACAGTCAAGATATTATCCCCCTCCACCTTCAAGTCTAGTTTAAAGCTCATCAGGAATATTTCATTCCTTTTCCCCAGTTGGAGGGAAGTTAGGACCCTTTTAACTGTTTTTCAAAGAAATCCAAATGTGAATAGTCCTGGGTGTGGCAGCCAGATACTCAGCTTGGTGGGAGACCCATTTGCAAATGGCTGAAGAGCTATGAAAATGACTGGAGAAGGTTGACAGGGAGCCACGAAGGGCTCAATCAAACCTTTGTAGCGTATCCTGGAAGCAGTTATGAGGGCCCTGCATGTGGGGAGGTCTAGATGCTGTATTTCAGTCAAAACTGGGTTATCACTGCCTTCGCCCAGTGCAGAAAGCCCTATGCAAGCTTGAAGCAGTCAGCCGTGGCAGTGAAATCTGGAGGCTGTGTTGGCAAACCCTGCTGAGATAAGCCCATGTTTTCGTCTGCACTGGCTCGCGTCCCACAGGTTCGGCATGTGGGTGGGGTGAGCCTACCTTGGCTTGCAAAACGCTATGTACGGCTACCCTCCACCAGTTTATTCACCCTGCTAATGGCTGCTGCCACGTTACTCGCTGAAATGGTTCAGTTCTTCGGGATCCCGGTAACAAATAAGCTGCATCATCACCCCCCCATTTTTTGTTGAGGAGATGAGGTAAGACTTGTCAATCGCCTCTTACACTCAGAAGTGGAAGCTGTGAAAGGTAATTCTGCACACCGCCACGTATTGCTGGGCTTCAGTTTCAGCTGCGCTCGTGTACTGGGGATGCAGCTTCAGCCCACAAACACGTGGTTCTTTTCACTGGTCACTATCAGAAGGTGTCATGAGGAAGGACAGGAGCCTCACGCACTCCGATTTTAGAAATGAAGGAATCAAGGCAGAGGCAGGTGAATTGACTTGCTCCATGTCCACACAAGGGTTAGTGGTCAAGTGAGTTACAGAACCAATGCTGAAGGGGGGCTTATAAGAAAGATGGGACAAACATTTTAGTTTGCGATAGGACAAGGGGTGATGGTTTTAAATTGAACCAGGGGAGGTTTAGGCTGGATCTAAGGAAGAAATTCTTTAGCGGGAGGGAGGTGAAACCCTGGCAGGGGTTGCTCCGAGAGGGGGTGGAGGCCCCATCCCTGGGAACATTCCAGGCCAGGTTGGACGGGGCTGTGAGCAACCTGGTCTGGTTCAAGGTGTCCCTGCTCCTGCAGGGGGGTTGGGCTGGTTGACCTCTAGGGGTCCCTTCCCACCCAAACCATTCTATGATCCAGTTTCATTGTTACGCGAATTATACAGTCAGGGTGCCTACAGCTTTCCACCTCTCATCGGGAGAAATGAAGAATTAATATGAAAGCTGTGGTCAAGTCTGTGGGGTTTTTTACTGATCTGTTTTGTAGAGTGAAAGGTCGAAAAGGAAGGAGGTAGAGTCAATGGAGAGAAATAGGTGCTTCTGGAGGGAGCTCAAAAGACCTGATTTGTGCACCTCCCTTAGCACAGGATGAACCACCCACTGGAGATCAGGCAGACCATCCATTTCAGGTGACTATAAGCTGAGCCTGGGAGACCAGCTTAGAGAAGGGATTGCTAACACCCAGCTTGTACGAGGGGCTCGATCTGCATTTCCGCTACGTTAAGCACTCTTTACACATGGGTAGCATATAGCCTTACATGCTGGGCTAATTTAGTGATGGAATGGTTTGGAAAGGTTTGTTTGGCGTGTCAGCTATAAGCTCTAATCATATCTCCAGTTCTGGCACCTCCTGCTGTATAAACCCATCCCTTTTCAAATAGGAGTGAAAAATCTGGCCCAGGATTTCAGCTGTCTAAAAACAGATTTTTTTTTTTTAAATGCTTAATTATTTCTGTTCCTTTCCTCCAGCAGTTATGTGGTCCAGCTCCTGTTAGTATCTGTAAGGAGCTTGAGTATTTGTCTCTGTTAAGACCAGGGCTGAGCTTCAGGTCTTTGGACCATGTAGATTTGAGCTGCAATGATCAAGCAGATGATTTTCTTTCCACCACCACAGCACGTGCAAAGTGTGGAAAGTGGCTAAAAGAGGTGCAGTGTCAATGTGGGGAGCATGGGGACATGGCCACTGCCGAAAGATGAGGAACTCCTAGAGAGAGTCCAGAGGAAGGCAACAAAGACGATGAGGGGATGGAGCATCTCCCCTAGGAGGAAAGGCTGAGGGAGATGGGCTTGTTCAGCCTGGAGAAGAGAAGGCTGAGAGGGGATCTCATCAACATGTACAAATATCTCAAGGGTGGGTGTCACGAGGATGGAGCCAGACTCTTCCCAGTGGTGCCCAGTGCCAGGACAAGGGGCAGTGGGCACAAACTGAAGCACAAGAGGTTCCAGTTGAACGGGAGGAAGAACCTGTTGACTGTGAGGGTGCCCGAGCCCTGGCCCAGGCTGCCCAGGGGGGCTATGGAGTCTCCTTCTCTGGAGATATTCAACCCCCGCCTGGCTGCTGTCCTGTGCCCCCTGCTGTGGGTGAGCCTGCTTGAGCAGGGGGGTGGGACTGGGTGAGCTCCCGAGGTCCCTTGCAACCCCAGCCATCTTGGGATTCTGTGATTCTGTGATTTCCTGTTGACTCAACACCAAGTTGCTGACGGCATGTATTGGCCATGCATTTTTGATGGAAAATGCCCCAAGATAGACTGCCTGAGGCTGTGCCCAGAAACATTTTGATTTTTGAGGTTCAGGTGCTGAATTGAAGTAATGAGTAGCAGCAGCAGATCATTATGAGATGGGGCCTTCAGATTAATGTCAGTTAATGTCTTGGGGCATGTATTATCAGTCGTCACAACACTGTAAACATGCTCAGGACATAACACTGAAATGTGTCTACTGACACCCCGTGCCAGGTACAGCTTGAGCCTCCGAGAACATTGACATGATGAGCAGGATTTCAGGTATGAGGGGAGGACACCTAGGTGGTGAAGATGACAGTTGTCATTAAAGCTGGTGGTAACTCTCTATCTCAGTGGTGTTCTTCTGCCAGCAGTGCATTACTGGATGAACACACATATTTTACAAAACACCCCAGGCTCACAGTCAGCCTCAGAATACAAATCCATATGAAACCTCACAGTCTCGCAAGGACTGAGGATTGTGTTGGTCCCATGCTGTCCTGGCTTCTAAATATTGCCCTCTACAGCTGTGAGCTAGCTCTTGCAAGTGGCATCCTGAGCAATTCCTGAGTGCTGAACTTAGGTGTGAACAGGCTCATGTCACCACCAAGATCCCAACCGAGAACCCATGTGGACAGGGAGGCTCAAGATGCATTAGATACCACCACCTAGTGGGAGAAAAACGTTGTGCTGCAGTGGTGTAAAGCTGGTCTTTGTGCCGGCTCTCCCGCTCCCTCTCTGACTGATGGAATTTTGGGCTTGAGCCCTCTTTGCTGCGCAGATGTGGCCAGAACAAGAAGTTCCCTCCTGATTTACTTTGGCAAAAAGCTGTGAAATCAGTCAGGGCTGCCTTGTAGCACCATGAAAATTGTGGGCCTCCTATCTTCATTGCCGGGCTGGTTTCCAAAATTCCTGGTGATTAGAATTAAACTTAATGAGCTGTGATTACCTTGAGAGCTACTCCCCTGGTGCCCACATACACATACAACCCTCCTGCTCCTGAAAGGGAGCTGCAGCAAACACAAATGCTCTGATATGAACACAGAGTTCCATCAACTGGATGGAAACAAATGGGGAAGATCCGGTGTCTTTTAAACCTGGAGACTCTCGGCTGTCAAATGACACATGAGAACATTGTCTCCTGCAGCAAGCTGGGTGGGATGAGATGAAGTTGGGCGAGGAAGGCAGAGCTGATCTTGTGGTCCTCTAAACTACAGCCTGAGCTGTGCAGTTGAGAACAGCTCAAGGGTTGCATCGGGTGGCATCATCTGCCTTTTGGGGACTCAGGGTCATCAGGGGACATCTAGACTCCGAGCCAGAGGTGAGGCTGATCCGGATGGATGAACCTTTAGCTATGTTTGGGGGTGTGAAAATCCAGGTTCAGACGTTTTGCTTATCAAAGTGGATCTATGGGAAGAAAACTTTTGAAAGAACCCGTGACCTTGTAGGCTCTAACCAGAGCAAGGGAACAAAAACTCTGAGCTCTTTCTTACTTGAAAGGAGCCAAACTCTCCTTGCTAGTGGCAGGGCCAGGCAGAGCGCCGTGAGATCACCCACCCCTGCTCAGAAGGTGCGGGAGGGCCATCAAGCATCGCAGCACCTCATCACCATGGCACCATGCAGATGCAGCAGGGGAATTCAGTGGAAGACCAAGGAGAGACAAACTGGAAGCACAAAATGAAGCCCGAGTCAGAGCAGCTTCGGGCCAAGCACCCTCCTCCTGGGCTCCAATCCTGCTCTTCCAGCTGGGATTGCCACGGACTCTTCCTGAATTTAAGCACCCAAGTGAGACCACCGGGATTTCGAGTCTTACT